GAGATCTGTTGAGAAAATATTAAAACCATTGTCGAATTAGGATAGGATATACTAAAATACAGTAACCACGGCAATTTTTAGTCAGAAAAAAAGAAAAATATTCGAATCCACATTCTCACTTTCTTCATGACTATGTTGGTATTAAGGATTTCTATAGTTCTATAATCATTCACTTTCTTATGAAATATTCTAATGAAATATGTGCATTTGAATTCATACTAAATTCTTGAGAGAATTTAATCATGAGGCAAATACATCTGCACCTGAATCAGCGAAAAAGACTCACTAATTCTCCTAATAACAATGTAGAGTGCGCCTAAAATCAAAATGGTAAAATCAAAGAGAAGTCGATACAATTTCAATGATTACAAAAATGTTTCCTCTACGTTGCAAAGTTTCGTGTTGAAAAAAAAAACGCGACTTGATTGGTTGCCTCAGAAAAATGAAAGGAGACTTATGGTGTGTTATGAACTAACAGTAACTAACGGGCGAGTTGAGATTGAACGCGTGAATAATGAAATGACTTTTTTTTAACGTATTCTTTGGTGTGCCTTTGCCACTAAGAGCAATTAGTGGAGCCCTCATCAACGCAGATAAAGTGGCCCATTTCCGCCGTAGAATTGTATTGAGGGAAAAATGCATTTTTTATGAAAAGGTAATTCAGAAGAAATCAAATGATGTGTAAAATTTAAATATCTAATTTATTACTAGTTGATAATGTTATAGAGATAATTCTCTGGAAAAACGCGGACCCGTTTTTTTTTCTTTCAAAAAATGGTTGTCACTACGTACTTTTTAGAATTTTTTCTTAAAGTTTTATTTTTCAAAGTGAAAGCGGCAGTAAATCATAACTGTAGCTATCCCATCGAATTTTTTTTCCAATTTAATCCTAAAACAATGGCTTCAAACGCGGAACCCAGCCTTTTTTGATACTGAACTTTGAGCTTTTTCCACTGGAAAATCTTTTGAGTTATTGTTCATTGATAACTATATTGGGAAAGACATGTATATGATAATTATAACACGAATATTTTATGTTGCATATTAATTTATTTATTTACTTATCAATATCATTGCAATAGCACTAAGATTATCCCTTTTCTTTTTTGTCGATCTCGCTATCGCCGCTAGTTGCACGTTTACAACCTTTTAAAGTCATCTGTCATATTTTTGTCAACATTAGCTCAGTGTGGTGCTCTCCGTAAGATAACCCTTTTCCAA